ATATTGTACTTCTCTAATACACTGATAAAATACTCTCAACTGGATTATTGTCCACATTGACTGATTTAAAAAAACTCACCTTCTTCAGGTAAATGTATCTGTAATTAAAATGATAGAGATGTATGCTCATGACTTAAATTACTGTTCATAATAATTGAGATGTTAGCAATGTCAGTCATAATTGAGATGACCTATGTAACCTATGCAAATGTTTCCAAATTTCCAGCAATATAATTAGCCTAAATTAAGTTAATTGTCACTATTCTTGACAATTTCAGCTCATTTAAAGAAACATAATAGAATGCAGTTTCACAAACTGTATATTGTCTAATAGCGAATATTAGAGATTTTTAAAGGATATTTTTCCACACTAATGCTTATATGTACTCATGTATATATACACTTGTAGGCCTGGTTGCTCATTCAGTTTGGACAGGGCTATAACAGCATACATACTGAAGCAGACCAGTAGTCCCATCTTGCTCAGTATCCTGCCTTTAGAAGTGGCCTATTTCAGATTCTCTGGGGGATGGAAAAAAATGAACCACACATCTACTAGCCATATTTAGAATACTATAGGGAGAATGATGTGAAAGGAATTTCTTACTGATCCAAATAGTGCTCAGTTTGTACCCTGAAGCATGAAGGTGTCCCCTTGTAATATTTTTTAATCAACAAATATAACTGCAAACGTTATTACTCTAGGTATAAATAGCTAATGTTTTCCCCATTGTTTCAAGTGAATGCGGGTATAAACTGCAGGTACCATACAATAAGAAAGGCATCATGAACTAAGGGCATTGACTAGCACTGGCCTATAACAAATAAAAGGCATTTAAATGGAAGCCCCCCCTCCCTTAATAATATTCACCTTTTCTTGAAATGACAGCAACATGTTTAAACTTTTACAACCAATTTTTATTTTGTTTTGCAGTACTGCTGTTGGCCATGTAAAATCTTTCAACTTCTTTCAAATTCCATAATCAAGTAACAAAAATCTGAGCAGACTGACCTCAGTTTCTCTAAATTACCAGACTTGCTGGGAATAATCCAGCAGGTTTTCAAATGTGACCCTGGTACAGAAAAGATTCCATATATAGTTTTGGAAAGGGAAATTGCAGTTTTGCAGAGACCATATAAATTTGCATAAGCATACACACAGAGGTAAGCTATACTGAACATATGGTACGTTATCAGCCTATTTTGTGCTCAAAAAGGTGGGATTGGGTTGAGCTGGACGTACTTCTTTACCACAGGCCAGAATAGCTGGTTCCCTTCTGGGAGTGGAGGTTGGCAGCTTGACTCTGTCTGTAAAAATGTCCTACATAAGCCCAGAACTCCGAGGAATGGTATATAAATGAAATTAAACTAGTATTTCTACTGAGGTCTGTCTGTGGGACATACAGTGAAAGACAGTGAGAGTTTCAGACGTTTGCAGGAGGGAGAACTGGGGTTTGGATCTAACCAATTTAAGAAGGGGGGGGGGGACTATTGCAAAAATGGGACCAGA